TTTTGTGAAATAAAACAATATCTTATATAAATCTTTTTTATATTATTAAAAAGAAAAGTAAGTATATTATAAAACAAACTAAAAACAAAAAAAAAACCCTTTTGCCGGGGTTTGTTTTGACCAGCACATCCTGTTGCTTGTGTGTAGTACAAATTATATCATAAAAATTTTTAATTGAACAAACTTGCACCCAGGTTATTTTAGTTGGCTTATTATACAAAGTTCTTCAGTCGTACCAACAATTATGTCACCCAATATTTGTTTGTACATTAAATATTGATTATATTTATTTTGATCCGTTAAACTACGTTTGTTTTTCATTTGACAAATAAAATTTCTAATATTCGATCAAAGGTTTTATTTATTTTTTTTTATTTTAATATGGCATACATAATACATTTGTAGTATAATAAATTAATAAGTGATTCTGAGTTCTTATTTTTATTAAATTTGAGATAAAGTCCTTTCATTTGCCACAGTGTGTGACCAATTATTCTATGTGACAAATTAGCACTAGCGCATATTGTCATATTAAGAATTGACCCAAGTCATTTCCAAATCAGTGAAAATTTAAGAATGATATAGGTCAATTCAAAATTGACCTAAATTGTGAAACGATGTCGAACAAAGATTATAATAAATTAATTTTTTAACCTTAATATATATAGAGTATCGAGTAAGAATTTTTTAGATTTATGTAATTTTAGTTATACGAATTTTTATATGCCTTCATTGTGCTTTATTTTTATTTTTTTATAATGTGTTTTTTTTTATTTAAGTTTTATGAAGTATTTTGACATTTTTTTTATTTAAGTTTTATGAAGTATTTTGATATTTTTATTAATTTTATATATATAATTGTGTGTAAATTTTTTGTAACTTATTTATTTATGAAAAGGATATTTAAGATATAATTGATATTTTGGTATTGGGCTTATTATTTTTAAAACCTGGCAGTATAAATTTATGTTGTTACCGATTAAGAAATAACGTATGTTGTTTTAAAATTTAAAAATGATTTAGGTCAATTTGTAATTGACTTAAATTGTAAAATGACGCAGAACATCTCTACTATAAAATAATTTTGTTATAAACCTTATTTGATACCCTGGTGATCACAGTACTGTGTATGGTTAAAGTTGAGCTTTAATTGGAATTATCGTGATCTATGCCAGAGTCTTGCTGCGGTATATTTAGAGGTCAAGATAAGTATAGTCTTTAGGATTCTGCAACCCTGGCACATGCTTGTGCCTAACAAAATATATAGGTATAGACACAAACACAAAATTTTGGGCAAAAACATAGGCACAAATACCAAACCCTAAATATAAGCATAGGTATAGCATATAAAAATTTTGATATAAATATAGATTAGGCACAAAAATTTGGCATAGGCATGAGTATAGACATAAAAATTTGGCATGGGCCAGGGCATGGGCACAAATATAACAATATTATCATATTTATATAAAATAATCCAATAAACAAAATGCTTTTGTATATCTAGTTTTTATAATTTAATTAATAAATTAAAAATCCAGGTGACTGTTATAAAGAATTATACAGTATAACAGTACATTTTTTATATCCATTATATAGGGTATAAGTAATAGTTATTAAATTTATTAAAGGTTATAACTAGGGTTTGCAAACACTACACATGCTAGTACAAAAAAAAAATAATTAAGACATGGGTATAACTTGATTTTAAAATTTGGAACACAGACACAATATAAGCAGACACTTATTGGCACCAATATTAGTGCCCAACATAGTGCCAACAATACCGGGCATAAAATTCAATCATATACACAACAAACAATATTTAACTTTATTGTACGGGTCTTATGTAACAACCCAGTTTAAATATCCATACAATAACTATAACTTATAGACACTTATACACTAGTATTTTTGCCCGGCATAGTGCCAACAGTGCCTGGCATAACAAGATTCAATTACAAATCAAGAAGCTTTTTGCTCATAACTCGATTTAAGCATAATAAGTTTTAAATTTAATAAACTAGAAAAATTAAAATTATTTGTTGTTGTAAACCATTAAATAAATTATTAGACGTCCAGACTAATGGATTATATCTACTAAGTATTTCATTTGTGCCATTAATCTTTATAACAGTCACGGTCCCAGAAATATTATCACAGAACTTTAAATAATAATTAAAATCATGTGATTTAAAAACTCAGATTTAGGTATCCCTTATAGGCAGACATTCGTATGATTGGCTGTTTAAATCAATTTAATTTTACATTATTTATACAGTTTAAAGTACTTTTTAAAAAAAAAGAAAACTATGAAGAATAAACAAAAAGAAGTATATAGAAAGTTTTATTAGCATTATAGGACTCCACTATTGAAAATAATCAAAATTCTTTTTTGTTTTAGAGAAGTTAGCATGGTGATAACCTAATTTTAAGAAGTTGTTATTATGCTAACTTCTTTAAAACAAAAAAGAATTTTGATTATTTTTAATAGTGGAGTCCTACAACCCTAATAAAACTTTCTATATTCTTCGTTTTGTTTATTCTTCGTAGTTTTCTTTTTTTTAAAAAAGTACTTAAACTGTATAAATAATGTAAAATTAAATTGATTTAAGCAGCCAATCATACAAATGTTTGCCTATGATGGTATCCCTACTCAAGTTTAACTGCCATTCTCTAGGTAGAGTATTAATTTTTATAATAAAGTAATTTATAAACAAATTAACATTATAAGCAATTGAAGTTTCAATATTCGTTAATGATTGCACATAATTAAGTGCCAAAATAGAATCTGCGGTATTTGGATGCTTGATTAATTATGATTTTAATATAAATAGGTTGGATTACTAATCGATACTTTCTCTTTACTCTTACTAAAAATCGAAAATATGGTAGAATCACAGGAACAAGAGAACTTTTATGACAATAACTACTAGAGCTAACACTTCCTTCTACTTGGATCTCAAAGGTTAGAGCTCACTTGAGTTACATCATTTTTATAATTTTTACAAGGTTTTAAATTCGAACTAATTCACTAAATATAATAAAGTGGAAGTGGATTATAGTTGCCATCCAAATCTAACTAGTTTGGGCTTTGGGACTTTCTAGGGCATATACTATTATATAATTATTCAAAATATATTGGCATTATTAAAAACTGCAAAGTATTACATTAGAGTAGCTGCGCAGCGCGTGGTGCTTGCACAGGACCAGTACGATCCTATATATACTTGCTTGTTCGTGGATTTTATTGAGTAGGTTGTTAAGTTCGATGTTTGTTGTCAAGTTTATATGTTTATTGGTTAATTGTTGTTTAATTGGTATTTGTTCTAGCTTTTTTTCTTTCAAATTTCTATGAATTTTTGTTAACGAATTATGTTGATTTGTTTCGTGTGAATAGATTTTCATTGTTCAAATAAATTTTTAGCGTTGAATTAAAATATAAGTTTCGTTTCGAGTTTTTTTTATATTTTATATTGCAAAATGTTGTTAAGATGGTTTATTTAATGTTAATAGTTTGTATGGTTAATATATTACATCAATATAATTCACACAATCATAGTGTTCACATATAATAATCGATCTATTGTTCTACGTACGATTTTTTAAATTAATTCATAATGGTCAAAGTGTTGTCAGTGATCATATGTTATGTTCAAGTATAGTTTTAATAATCATCATTAATACTTATACTACTACGTTATTTTGAAAATGTTATTTGTTATAAATTTACTATGAACATTGGTATCTTAATTTATCCTAATAAAAAGTCTCTCCTTGTCGCATCTTTTACTTTATTTTTATGCACACATATTTATTAAGAATTAATTATTTCTAGTTAGATTGATCGTTGCTTTTGTGCAAACGTCATATTCTCTCTTTAATAGATTATAACTGTTTATATCATTAAACGTAATTATTGCACATTTTATTCATGTGATTAACAAAACTGTCATACAAGTATAAAGATCTAAAGTTGTACTATGTTACTACTTTCATTTTACATACTCTATTACTTTAGATAGGACAAAAAAATCGTAAAGTCTAATGCTCCATAAAACGTACTCTTAGGATAAGTGTTTCAATTTGTTGTTTAGCAAGCTTTGAGATTGCGTCAAACTTGTGATTTCTAATTCGACTGATTTTATCTACACCAATTGCCCTGAACAAATTGTATACATTGTAGGCTCTAAGTGTACTTTTTTTTAAAGCTTCTCTGGTAATATCAGATCTATATGCTATTATTCTATTATATACCTTTGATTTGGCTTTATTTACAGCTATTTTGTTATTTTGTAGTTCTTTATTCAATTGGTTTTCAAATTCTTCAGCATATCAATACCAGGATAATATTTTGGCTTGACATGCTATTATTGCTCAATTTTTAGCATGTTCTGCTTTATTATAAAGCTGAACCAAACTTAATAATACCTTATTACTTTCTTCTTCGCTACTACTAACTCTAGACATTTCTTCACCAGGAGTAATTAATTCAGCAAGAATTTTTAAAAAAATTCTTTCTTTTTTTAGAGCTTCATCAGAACCACTAGAGCTACTAGAGTTGAATAATGCTGTTGGTTTGGTAGGTTTACTAGAGTTGGTAACAGTAGGCGTAGCTGGATTTCTAGAGTCAGCGATCATAGAATAGTTGGTGTTGGTGACGGTAGGCATAGCTGGATTTCTAGAGTTAGCGATCATAGAAGAGTTGATGTTAGTGACGGTGGACATAGCTGGATCGTTAGAGTCGGCAGAGTTAGACGGTATAGGAGTACATTCTATAAGTGTATTCACAGCAGTAGGTTTAATAGAACTAATGGTATTTTTGATAAAGTCTTTTTGTTCTAAAATCTTTTCTAGATTTTTATTTTGACAGGTAGGGCAAAAATATTCTGATTCAGAAGCCCGGAGGTTAATGCATTTGGCATAAAAAAAGTGGTAGCATGTCAAAACTATAATTGGGCTTTGAAGAGTTGGACTAATTTCTGACATAAATATTGTACAAATATCATGTTCGTTTGAATTTGGGATATTTTCAGGTGTATTTTGAAAAACTTTGAACATGAATTGTTGTAGTTTTTCCATTTTTTTTTATTATAACAATAGACAGTAAGGCTAGTTGCAATTCATATTTATATAATTTTTAACATATTTCACTTTATTTAATATTGTAGTTGATCATAAAATTCGGATGATTATGGAGTCTAAAAATCCCACTTTAACCCTAATCAATATATGAAATTTAATTTCTTTTTTAATTCCTTAATGTTTTTAAAATTTTTTATTATTGTTCTCAATTAGAGAATGTATTTAATTATTGTATGCTCTTAAATTTTAATAGTTGGATTGATGATCTGCATAACTCTTTTTTTGAGCTCGTAAGTCTGTGAATACCACTTTTTATTTAATACTTCACTATGATCAGTTTATAAAATAAATCAATTATTTTATGGTATTTTTAAATGATAAAATAA